ATTTGTCGTAAAAATGAATTATAATTGCAAGAAAAGCTCGCATCGCTCCGATATTTTCCATCGGACATCGCCTGCTAAAACAACAGTCAGCCGAATCGCCGTTGTCTCCTTCCTCCGTTCGCCCACATGTTCTTCCTCCTCTCCCGCAAAAGCAGCAGATTCGATCATCTCTCTCTCTCTCTCTCTCTCTCTCTCTCTCTCTCGGTGCCTTTTCCTTTCCTTCCCTGTGAAGCAGCAGCTAGAGGACAAATGATCTCCATCCGTCTAGATTTCACCGAACGCCAACACCGAGCTCGCACGCCCATTACTACCTAAGGAAGATTTGGACCCCTCGCCCAACGCCACCACCACTACCGCCTTTGCCTGCCTTAAAAGCCCCCTCTTTATTCATATCAGCCCGATGCTGCCCCACCAACCCCCCCCCACCCTCTCAGCTCACAGATCTCTCCCCAAAGCAAGAACCATGCCATGGACCACTTCCCATCTCTCTCTCGCTCGCTCCCCATATATAACTAAAGCTAGCGACGAGGAGTACAAGGTGCAGTCACTGTGTGTGTCAGCCATCGCATTCCTGTTTTAACAACCCCCTGCACCCTTTCCCTTCTTCTCGCGGAGAAGGAAAGACAGAAAGGGTACCAAGGAGAGCGGTCGGTAGGAGAATGGCTCGTCTTGCTCCGCTCTCGGAGGAGCCCATCAGCGAGGAGGAGTCCAGGAGCACGGCCAGGAGAATCCACTCCTTCCACAACTGGATCAAGAGTCACCTGCCCATGCTCTCCAACAAGAGAAACGACCTCAAGATCCTCCTCAGCGTCCTCGGCTGCCCCCTCTCCCCCCTCTCCGTCTCCCCGAAACAGCCTCGCGACGTCAGAGCACGACCCTTCGCCGTCTGGTCATCGGTGTTGCCTCCGATCTCATGTTCTGCGATTTGTCGTGTCGCATGCAGGTGGCGTCGTCGGCTCAATACATAATTCAGCAGTTCCGGGCGACCACGGGGTGCTCCAAGAGGGAGAGGACGGCCAAGAGCATGTACGCGTCCGGGAGGGTGCGGATGGAGATGGCTCAGGAGCACGGGGTGAGCTCGTCGGGCTCGGCCTCCAAGGGCCACCACAAGGGCTGCTTCGTGGTGTGGCAGATGGTCCCCGACATGTGGCTGGTGGAGTTCGCGGTCTCCGGCCATCAGATCGCCGCGGGCAGCGACGGGAAGGTGGCCTGGCGCCGCACGCCATGGCTCGGGGCTCACGCCGCTCGCGGCGGGGTCCGCCCCCTCCGGCGAGCCCTGCAGGCAAGTGGACCGGACAGCATAAGCTTAAAGTTCCCTCTCTTTATGATCCTTCAACCTTTTTCCTCGTCTGCTTCTTCTTCCTCTTGGCCTCCACATGCTTGCCTCCACGTTTGAGCTCTGACTGCTTTCAGGGAGAATGTCTGGTCCACCCTCTCATTCTATGATTGAATGGCTTTTGATTGATCAGTAGTTGGCACGTGAAATGTCTCCCCTTTTGTCTCACAACGCATTGCAAGATCAGTATCCTCCTACTGGTCTTCCTTCCAATGGCTTTTTTCATATGATAAAAAGTGAAAATGATCAAAGATTCTGACATATTATAAGGTTATGAGCTGAAATGTATGTCTGATTAGCTTAGCTGATAAAAGATTTTGACAGATTATAAGGTCCTTTATAGCATATCTATGATCTCCATTTCACAATTCAGCTTTACGTTATCATTGTCATTGTGGTCGAACTTGCTCTGTCTTCTCCTACATCGCCATAAATACATGCATTGAGAGCTTGCAATTGTGTTCTTTGTTGGATGCTGATCGAGTACGACAGGGTCTGGACCCCGAAACGATCGCAGCCGTCTTCTCCCCGGCGCAACACATCGGAGAGAAGCACATCGGGGACGAGGAGTGCTTCGTGCTGGAGTTGGTGGTCGACGACTCGGTGCTGTCGAGCTGGAGCGACAGCACGGCGGAGATCATCAAGCACCGGATGCTGGGGTTCTTCAGCCAGCGCAGCGGGCTGCTGGTGAGGCTCGAGGACTCGCAGCTGACGCGGATCCAGTCGCCAGGGGCGGAGGCCATGTACTGGGAGACGACCATGGTGTCGTGCATGGAGGACTACCGGCGCGTCGACGGCCTCATGATCGCCCATTCCGGCCGGTCGGTGGCGAACCTGCTGAGGTTTGGGTTGGGCGTGAGGGAGCACCGTGTGTCGACGCAGATGGAGGAGAGGTGGACCATCGACGACGTGCTCTTCAACGTGCCCGGCCTCGCCGCCGACTGCTTCATTCCGCCAGAGGAGGTGCGGCGGAGCTGCTTCTACGACATCGCCATCAGAGATCACTAGCCGATCACCTCAGTTTCTCTACAGCTCACGTAGGAAGAGCTATTACATTCCATGTAAAAATCATGTTCTCCAATAATGGATTCCAGTTCTTATGTATATATATAGTTATATATATATATATATATATATATATATACTCTGATGTGTTCATTGAGCTCATAGTCTCTCGAGCAAAGCAGTTCTGTCTGCTTCTCTTCTTTCTCGCACTAGAAATGTCTCCTCTCTGATTGCATCATATGGCATTGTCATAGGCAAGCATGACTAAGATTGAGCTTGCAATGCAGCATCTCTGTGGGGAATCAAATGATGTTTTTGGCATTAGAGAAGTCTCTGCTCACATCAAACAACATTATTGGATTCACATGACAAAGAAAGCAGCCACGCCGCTACTCCCTCTCTGCAGACGAAGACTGGGCTGTAAACTCGTAGTGCGGCAGTAGCTATCTATATAAATCGATGCTACCACCACATGGGCTTCTTTTCGGGTGTTGCTGGTGGACTTCATGCTTCATCTCCAACATGGCTGAAGCGAAAGGTAGAAGACCACCTGTGTTATGATAATATGGTAATGGAACCTGCGGTGTCAGGTGTGACCTCACTCGGCCATGGGGGCAATAGATCTCAGTGTCATGCATGAAGCACAGAGTGCCCAAAAGATGGAAAAGGGGAGGAAGCACATGGTGGGAGGGGTTGTCCCCTCCAAAGCATCTGCAAGTCTTGCCTTTGATCTATCTATCAATCAATCATGGAGGTCATGCAGAAGCCTCTCCCACATGCACCCCAGAGGTAGTCCTCCTGTCTTGCAGACACTTTAACCTAACCACATGACCATAATAAGAGCAGTGTTGGGTTAAGGAATCTCCTACAGAATTAAAGGAAACAACTTGTGTTTTTGTGCTATTTGCATGAACTAAGAAACATATTATTACAATTTTATTACCCAATCTTTTAAGCAAAATGAGTTAAATTGAGTGTTCTAAACCACAACCGAATCGAAATTTATCTTTGTCACTTATCTTTTATATTAAAAAAAAAGTCAAGAATTCTCGATAGAATTGAGAATGACTAAATAAGAAAGATATTGGGTATAAAATTATCCTTTAAATTGAAAGCCAAAAACCAAGATCATAAGAACTGTTGTAGTAATATTTTTGTGTAGTGGTTGGAAAATGAGAAAGAATTTAGAACAATTTTAGATCATAATGTGTTGCTTCCCCACAAAATGACCAAACAGCGTTGTCGTTGGATTCAGGAATCTGCTGTTAATTAAAAGGCCAACGAAGCAGAGAGGACAACTCCTGTAGCAGTGCGTGCATGAACGCCAGTTAGATCTTTCAATGACATTTATATGGTAATAGTTGCATGAACAAGATTTGAGTCCTATCGACTTCAAAGTTAGTTCTAACGATCCTTCGATACTTAAGTTAGTAGTACGTAAAAATCGAACTTAGAAAATAAAACATCGAGAATTCTTAGGTGGCCGATTGAGTGGCTTTTGAGACGAAACGATTCAGTGGAATCGTAGGAGATTGGGAATTTAATTTGGATATAGTTTTTTTAATGTAATTTTAAGTTTCAAAGCTAATTTGGCTCCCAATTTAATTAAAGATAGTTAATAGGTTTTAGTGAAGTAACGAAGATGAGGTAAGGCTTCCTTCACAAACGTTGACATGGAATTCATAAAGATTATAGTGTACGGTTCGTATGATGTTTAGTGTCATCAAAGACTTTACTTTGGGTTAAGAGTCATTTAATAGATAGATTGTTACAACTCCACAATAAGGATCGGTAAACCGTTTGATGTTTATTTTACATTTTAACACTAGTTAATGATCCATCTAATTCAAGGCCTTTTTTAACTTTAATAATGGAATTAAATTTATTGCTTACATATTCGTTGAAAGGAATTATTTTTTAAAAAAATTAAAAACATGGTTTGATGTTTCATTTTCATCGGAAAAATATTTGTCTCTGATAAAAAAAAGATAAAAGTCATCAATCGACATCTCACTACATTAGCAAAAATTAAATAAAAAATATTCAAAAATTAACAAGATACTATCGTTCTCTCTTGTTTTCACGTAACTCACAACGAGAGTCTAACTTAAGTATCGAATGAATTATATTAAAAACCTCACTCGACAAATGTCTTTATACATATTAACACACTGTATCATGTATCCTGAGATGCTTCATATGACTTTAAAGGCTCCTAGTGCAAGTCGGATTTAAATCGAGTCGGGTTGATCAACCACTCCAAATCTACCATCAGCACTATCCCTCAACATACTTATCGAATTGATATCACTCTAGTGCCGATGCATTTTCTTTGACTCAATCAGGTTTGTCGACATGTCGAGAGAATACGATATTGACTCGATTAGGTGCGCCCAATGGTTGGAATCAAACGAGTTACGTCGGGTCAACCAAATGAATTCAAATTGAGCCTGTTAGGTGTATATGAACCTGATTGGATTAGGCCAATTCAACTCTACATTGAACCGTAATCAGGCTAAATTTATCAATGTTATTTTCAAATTTTATATGGATATATGAGAAATATATCCATATCAGCATCGACTCGAAGCCACCTCTATAGTCCAATCATCTCAACATATCAACCAGAATATTTTCACCATATTAACACACAAGTCTATATGCAATAAATGTAATGTTTGACAATTCAATGGATGCCTTCACGACTTAAGTCGATAACCCTCCCACTTGCGATTAGGTCGAACACTCGACTTAGGTTGGTTTTAAGTCGCTAACACATCGGACAACAAAAATCTATCTTAATAAACATAAACCAATAGGAAGAAATCAGGACTTTGTTAATGATGACACATCGAATAAGGCTTACTTAAGATGATGCTAAGCTATTAGAATTTAGATGATCAAGAACAATATGGTCTTGAGATGTTTGGTGGAGATATTGACTATTGATAACAACATCTTTATATCAAGGGGAAAAAAAAAAATCAAGCTCGGACGTAAGATTGTGATTCAAATTGGACGAAATGAGCCCATCAAAACATGTAGTCATCAATCAATACGGCCTCCCTCTTGTCTCTATCGCTTTGCACAATAATACAACAAAGCACATAACATCATAGAAGAAGAAGAGGCACATTGGTTGAATACAATGAGATGGTTCCGTGGTTGACTTGCTGTGCCATCAACATTAGGTGGGGGGTGAGCCAATGAGTATTATGTATCATTACTTGTGACAACATTATTACTATAACCCGCATAACGTATCATAGTGTGTATTTATGTATGTGAAGCAGAGAACGCTATAATTGCAAGAATATTTCTCCATCTGACGCCTTTCAAAGATAGCAGTCTGCTTTTCTATAGATCCACAGCTTCAATCTCGAAGCCCTCTCACAAATTCCACACAGTTTCCAACTTGTAACACCTCGAGACTTCCTTCTCTCTCTCTCTCTCTCTCTCTCTCTCTCTCTCTCTCTCTCTTTCTGGAGGGGTAAGGAGCCTGTTTCTCTGCAATTCTATTGACTCCTGTCTCTCGCCAGGAGTTCCTCATCTTCTACTAATGATGTTGTTTACTCGTATCTGATAGACGAATTCAGCTGGCTTTAGCTTTGTTTATGCAGTCAATCGATGGATCATCACTGTGTTCTTAGATAAAACCTTGTTATTTGGCATTCGGTATGTTCTTATGGGTCATATATTTGTACTTGCGTGTATCTACAGCTACCTCCCAACCTATCGAGCTAAATCGTGAAGCTTGACGACATGTTGTTGCCAAAAAGATGGCAGAGCTGCATGATGCTTCTCGTCTTTGTCCTCTCGGATGGTACAGGTGAAATAGGCACTTATCATCTGCTCTTCCTCTTGACGGCAATCCAACTCACGAGTGCTCAACGATTCAGGGACGACAAAACGGAGCAGAGCAGCTACTGCTGCTGTCTGCGGCAAGGATCTGCAACCCAGGAGCAGAGTGCTGATGGGCTTTGCGAGTCTAGCCGACACCATGAATGCATCAGGTCTGGTGTTCTGTGTGGCGAATCCCAGTGCTGACGCGAACGCACTGAGGAATGGATTGGATTGGGCTTGCGGACCGGGCGCTGCAAACTGCACTGCGATACAGCCAGGGCAGCCTTGCTATGAACCCAATAACCTGACTGCCTTGGCTTCCTATGCCTACAATGAATACTACCAAAGAACAAGAGCAAGCGGAGGATCCTGCTCCTTCAACAACACGGCCATGACGACCACCAGTGATCCTAGTAAGCGGTTTGTTCTGTGAATCTACCTTCCTCTGGTTTCTTTCGAGAACAATGATCTCGTGGAGCTGAGCTGCTGCATGACATATTTAATGTGTGAGATAACTGAGGCACTGATTATAGAGTCCGTCTGTGGATGGTATTCTTCACCATCATCATCATCATCACTGTTATAGTAATATTAACATAGGTTGGACAGGTAAGACAATGATCTGCTATCAATCAATGACACAAAGAACTCATAACACACACAGCAGAACTTCTTTCTAGTGTTCTGCTTGCAGTTCCATTGCAAGTGCTTTCCTCCTACAAATCCTAAGCTAATCGATCGGGTTGTGCAGGCCATGGCTCATGCATCTTCACTGGAAGGTGAGTACTGTGTCGCAGAATATGCCTGCAAACTTATCCTGCCTTAAACTCCTATGATTTCTCCTTAATGGTATTCGTTTGGAAGGACAGTGCGGGAGGGACCACGAACACCAACACGACCACAAGCCCGAGTCCGACTACCACTCCGAGCAGTGGTGGATCGCCCGGCAGTAACAATTTCGTCCCTCTTGGCTCAAACATCGATAGAGCTTCTTCCGCATCGCGTGCTCTCCAAGTGGTGGCATGTTTGCTCCCCTTGCTGTGCTCTTTCCGGTGCGGCATGTAAACCTTGGTATGATTCATGGTGATTTGACAGAAACAACATGAACAAAGTGGGGAACGTCTTTTTCATTCTGAAAACATTTTTTTGGTTTTTCTGTATATCTTTCTTCAAATATGATGTATGTTACCACCTGCTGTGTGTTCATGTTTCATGTTTGTAGAACACTGGAGAGCTGATCAGGTGAGGTGGAAGAAAAGGATTGCTATCTTGCTTGTTAATGGAAGACAACCGTGATGCTACCTCTGTCCAACGAGTGTTGGAGCCATTACTGCTGCAGCCTTGTCCTTCTCATCAACTTCGATTCTTATACTTAGTACATATCAATAGATTCTTACATGTTAACTTCAGTCTTAAATGTTCACATGATAATGATTTTAGAATCGACGATTTTGATACCCTAAAAAATAGAATTTGAATCAAACCGATTCCAAATAGTTATAATTTCAGTTGTGGAACCATTACAATTTCGAAACAGTCTAATCACTTTGGACATGTATATGTTTAATACATCATGTCACTACTGTTACTGTAAACAACTTTATGCCGTGGCCTCGGGGCCGACGTGGCTCGGTTCGGGTCCGAATGGGCGAGGATCTCCCTGGGTCGCTCCTCGAGCCTGCTGAGGAGATCGGGGGCGACGTCCGATCGGGGCGATGTAGGCGTCTCTTCCGGGTAGGAGCTCCTCGCCTGTGCCGTCCAGAGGGGACCTTCGGCTTCGCGCCTGCACAAAGGTCGGGTCGAGGCGCTCAGCCCGACCCCTCCGACGATCAAGTTAGCAGACGTGGAGGGGGTTTCAGATGAAGAAGTGCTTCTGTGTCGATGGATCCCCCTTTTGTTTAGAGCCCGGGGGTATTTATAGGCAAGTTTAGTATTACCTGATGTGCCTGTCTGCCGGGGCAGGATCGTACCTCTGATGGCGTCTGACATTGCCGCTGGTGTTGCGTGGAGGACCGAACTGCCGCAGGGTATGGGCGAGCTCCGGTCGACGCCTTCCTCTGCCTCGGTCGGGCGTGCAGGGTCAAACGATGAGGTCGCCTGGGAGCGATTGACGTTGGCGCACATCAAGTCGGCGTTAATGCTTACTCCCTTGGGCAGTGTGTCGTCCAGACGTGGCTGACGTCATGGCGCATCATGTCGCCATTTTTGTCCTTATATTAAAGTTTTGGTTCACTTTGGAACAAAAAAATTAATATCAATAAAATATAAAAAAAATATGAATTTTTGAAAAAAAATTATAGTTTTAAAAAATTCACAAAAGCGCATAGGGTAAGGAGAGTTATGACGATGGAGGCCAACAATTGCTTGTTTCGTGGACGAAAATGATGAGGATAAGAAGCACGAGGACAAGTCTAACCAAAACTAATAGAGTTTACGAAAGGAAGGACAAGTTCGACGATGGCCAAAAGGGTCGGACAAGGATAGCGGTGTTGGGCGGTGGCCAATATAGGTAATATTATTATTTAAAAAAATATTCTGGAAGAATTTTTAAATTAGGATATCAATTGAAATTTTTTTTGAAATAAAAGATTTTTTTTCATAAATTCGCCCATAACTAAATCTTAATATTAAATAGTTTTCAAATTGAAGGAAGGCTGGACCTGCCAGTGCTAATGTCTCAATCAGTGTTGGAGTAGATGCCAGTAGTGTATGGATTGATAAAGCATGTGATGATCATTATTATATGAGGAGACATGGTCCATCCGACTCCTGGAAGCAATCCATTGACCATTACTCTTGTCTTTGATTCTTGAAAGCACAGCCAACGCAATCATATTCTTCTTTTGCCTTTTCCTTTTCCTTCTCTTTTGACGAAGAAAAAGGAAGATCAAAACAACTGAGGAGGCGACAAAGTCTTTGATCTGAGATCACATCCAAAATCGCCAATCACACAGCGTCTTGAACTGAGCACCATCGTTCTCCAAGCTCAGCTCAAACGGTGCGCTGCAACCGTGGCATGGGAATCCGGATAAGATAGATATAGAGGAAATCTGACGGTGGTGACAGAGGCCACGTCAGCGTGTGCCCGTGCCGTGACGACACACTGTTTGGAATTTGCAGGCTGACGGTGTCGGTGCCTCAAAATATGGCGCACATTATTGCACCACCATCAATGGATCATGCAGGCACGTACTGTCCACAGCAAGCAATGTACTCAGATAGCAACCAACCCACCGACTCAAAGTTATCCCCCGTTTTTACTCTTGTAGGTCCCAACCTCACATGATGTGTTGGTCGAGTAGGGTCGTATTGATCCAAATGTAGGAGGGGTAATAATTTCAAGGACCAAACAAAAGAGGCAAACGAGTTGGAAAAGGTGCAAACATCCATGTGATGTGCCTCGGCGAGTCTCTGTAGCCTCATCTGCGTCTTCGCTTCCGCCAATGGATGTCAGCGCCTTTGCCTCTCTACTTCCTGCCGATTGGGATGCGTCAGCGGTAATTAACTCTTTGTGCAAATGATCTTTCAGTAAGCTGGTAATTCCACACCGAAAGCTTTGCAGGGAACGTAGGACCAGCAGCAGCAGCAGCAGCGGTTACGGTGACAGCAGTATTGGCTGTCGACATCGGAAGAACCGTGACGAGGCCTCACGACGGCCACACAGAGAGGTCCCACGCTCTGTCCTTCACCGTCACGTTCCTCACGCGAGCTTCTTAATAAATCCTCGCCCTTGGACACCGCCTGCTTCTGCTTCTCTCTGCTTAGCCATGAGGGATCTGTGCTTCCCCCTCGTTCTTCTGGTGCTCCTCGTCGGCGCACGGTGCCCCGCCGCCACCGGGGAGGAGAAGGCTGCGAAGGGCGGGAAGCCCTGGCTCGACACGGGCGGGCTGAGCCGGGGGGCGTTCCCGGCGGGGTTCACGTTCGGGACGGCGGCGTCGGCGTACCAGGTGGAGGGAATGGCGCTCCAGGACGGCCGGGGGCCCAGCATCTGGGACGCCTTCGTCAAGATCCCAGGTAAATCTCACCCGCCCGTTTCGTGCTTTGATGTCCGCTCTCGAGATCGGACGGTCCAGATTGATCAATATGCTAACCAATTGTGACTCCGTCGTTTCCTCTGTTTCTTCTTCGGATGCTTAAATCTGTTGATGTCCAATTGGACGAGCAGGGGAGATAGCTAACAATGCTACTGCCGATGTCTCCGTGGACGAGTACCATCGTTACAAGGTAAATATGCACGCCAAATGCTTTTGCTTCTCTGATACATGCTCTGGTTTTCTACCTCGTCTCACCATTTTTGTGGAGCAATTTAGATCAGTGTAACCCGATAATGGAAAAGAGATAATTGTCTAAGAAAAACACTGTTTGAACGAAGGTTATAGACATCAAAAAGAAAAAAGAATCTATGCAAATTATCGAGAGCATGATATACTGTAAATCGCTGAGCATTTGTTGGACAGGAAGACGTGGATATCATGAAAAAGATGAATTTTGATGCATATCGTTTCTCGATCTCTTGGTCACGCATTTTTCCAGGTAAACTAGAACTCCCATCTACCATCGATTTGTATGGGGTGAGTTCTTCTTATCTTTAACGATGAATGATCTCCTCGTTCTGGCTTTTCTTTGCCCATGCAGAGGGAGAAGGAAGAGTGAATTGGAAGGGAGTGGCTTATTACAACAGACTGATTAATTACATGCTACTGCGAGGTATAGACGCTTGACATTGGAACCAAAAACCTGTTCTTATCTTTGAAGATCAAGTTCTGTAGTGAGGTTTTGGATGTATTCCTCCTTCAGGCATCACTCCCTATGCAAATCTCTATCACTATGACCTCCCGGAGGCACTGGAGAAGAAGTACAATGGCTTGTTGAGCAGGAGAATTGTGTAAGTCTGTGAAACGATTCTTTCTCTCTCTCTCTCTGTCTCCAAGATGTCAAGATCGATCCTCGATTGTTTGGTTTGCAGGGATGCTTATGCGAACTATGCGGAATTTTGTTTCAAGACGTTCGGCGACAGGGTGAAGAACTGGATGACATTTAACGAGCCAAGAGTAGTAGCAGCTCTCGGATACGATGACGGCAAATTTGCTCCAGGGAGGTGCACGAACTGCTCGGCTGGGAACTCTGCTACCGAGCCATACATCGTTGCACATAACATGATCCTTTCTCATGCCGCCGCCGTCAAAAGATACCGTGACAAGTATCAGGTAAACACCATTCTCGATTCGCACTTTGAAATGTAATGTTGGATGTCGACTTTACTGTAGATTTTCACCTTTCCAGGCTAAACAAAAAGGTCGAATTGGTATACTCTTGGATTTTGTTTGGTATGAACCACTCACGGACTCGAAGGACGACCAAGACGCAGCTCAAAGATCGAGGGATTTCCATCTGGGATGGTAATACGTATCCAAAAGTCTATTATCTGGAGATAGCAGTTCATTACCCTGTGTTTGATCTCATCATATGCTTCTGCAGGTTCCTGCACCCTATAATCTACGGTGAGTACCCGAAATCGATGCAGGAGATAGTTCAAGCAAGGCTTCCCAAGTTCACCGAAGAAGAGATCAAGATGGTCAAAGGCTCCATCGACTACGTGGGGATCAATCAGTACACGGCTTACTACATGTTCGACCCTCATCTTCCCAAGCAGGAGAAGCCCACTCGTTACCAGTCGGACTGGAATGCCGGATTCGCATGTAAGCTCCTCCATTGCCATGCGAAGTCTGTACGAGGAAACCAGTACTAAATCTCGTATCTGTTGTGTTTGCAGTCGAGCGCAATGGTGTGCCAATCGGACCAAGAGTAAGACATCTGTTTGCTCTGACTACGTTGTTGTCGACCTTCGATTCATTCGATGATGCGAAGTGGCATTTGCAGGCGCACTCCGAGTGGCTTTACATCGTTCCCTGGGGGATGTACAAAGCTGTGACCTACGTGAAGGAGCACTACGGCAACCCCACTGTGATCTTATCTGAGAACGGTATCCATGACGAAGCTTTTGCTCTTCCATTTCACTGTGTGCAGTCACTGACTCGACGACGACGGTGGTGACAGGAATGGACGATCCCGGAAACGTCACTCTTCGACAGGGGCTGCACGACACCACCAGGATCAACTACTACCGGAGCTACATAACGGAGCTGAAGAAGGCGATCGACGACGGCGCCACCGTGATAGGTTACTTCGCCTGGTCCCTGCTCGACAACTTCGAGTGGAAGTCCGGATACACGTCCAGGTTCGGGATCGTGTATGTGGACTACAAGAACCTCCGGCGGTACGCGAAGATGTCGGCGTACTGGTTCAAGCAGATGCTCGACAGAGGTAAGAGGAACTGAGCCAGGAATGGCTCCCGTGCTTCGATCGATTTCGTTCCTTCCTCAGCGCTGTATCGGCTGAAGTGGCTGCCAACAGAGTCTGTATCCGAACCGCAGCATAACAATAAAGGAGGAGTTGGTGATCGGACAATGCTTTCCATGCTCTTGCTGTTGGAAATCTTCGTGTCGTGGGCAATCAAACCGGTTTAGATGTTATCGAGTGATCTCTGGAGTCAAATCGACATATCGTTTCTCCTAATTTGAACTGAGTTTTGATCCGATATAACTGACGGAAAGATTACGATAATATATCGAAAATGGAATGTATGAAATAAAGGAGGTCAAACACTAACACGTCTACGTTGACTTAAATTACAAGTTTCTAACACTTAACAGTTCTAGGTTGACTTCAATTACATGTCAATCAAGTTTGAGATGGATATATGATATAACAACAGACGATAAAGTGGAGGAAGGAGAAAGGGGAAAGGGGAAAGGGGAAGGGGAAGGCGACGACTAGCCGCAGGAGGCCGAGATGGGGAGTCTATGGCCGAGGAGATGTTGGTGGAGTAGCCTCAGTGGGACGGACGAAGCGCCGCTTCTCCTCCTCCAATTGTCTGGAGGCGGCCCGGTAGGCTCCGGCTGCCGCCTCGGCGGTGGGGTAGGTGCCTAGCCAGAGGCGGACGCGACGGATGGGGTCCCTGATCTCGGCTGCCCACTTCCCTGACGGCCGCTGCCTCACCCCCTTCTGCCTCCCGGAGGCGGATGAGGATGCACTCGACGGCCCCGATATTTTGCGGGTTTCTAGGGTTTTGTCCGTACGAGTCAAGGGAATCTCATACCTAACTCGGTTCCTCTTCTTCTTCTTCTTCTTCTTCTTCTTTTTCTTCGATCCACTCCCACCTTCCTCATCCTCGTCGTCGCTGGAGGACTCGGTGGTGTCAGGATCGGCGAAGAAGACGCGAGCCTTTCTCACCGCTTTGTTCTCCAACCCCAACGAATCGTTCAGCTTCTCCGACAGATCGCGCTCGGACGGAACCGATTTCTCCAGCTGCTCCTTCGGACTCGAACCGGAAGCACCCATTTGCTCCAGTTTCTTCGTCGTGCTCTTCCTCTGCATCCTGCCTCCCACCTTCCTCCTTCCTTGGGTCGAAAACCGGAAGCACCCAGCTCGATTACCAGCTCCTACGTGAGAGAGGAGAAAATGAACTTAGTTTCTATGGTGGAGGGTTTCCAGGCGAGCTTTGAGGAGCACAGAATCTGATTCATGCACTTGGCAGCAGTAGCAGCCGGCGACGGAAATCTCCGCCTAGCTCTCGCTGCTACGTGGAACAATCAGAAGAATCAATCATAAATATAAATTCAAAAGATAATACACATAAAATTAATCTAAAACTTTTTATTAACCTATATTTAAAAATTATATATATATATATATATATATATAAATTAATCTAAAACTTTTTATTAACCTATATTTAAAAATTATATATATATATATAGTTATTCCCTACTAAAATAACTTTGTTACAGTAGATAACAAACTACCGTTTTCCCTTCCCTTGTCATGCCATCTCATCAGCTCCGTCTCGCCGCCGCCTCCGAAGTCTCGGCTTCGCGCCGACTGTTATTTTTTTTTTCTCCTTTAACATAAATTAATTATCACAAATAATATATTTTTTATTTAAATTATTAAAATTTCTTATTTATATAGTATGAATAAAAAATTAAAATTATATTTTAATTATATGAATAAGTTAAACTTTTTATCAATTTTATTTTAAATTTTATTTTTATGTGGATCATAAATAAATAAATATTATAGTTATATCTTTGTGTGTGAGAATAAATTAAAATTAAAATTAAATCATTGCTAATCTTTTGGGGGGAGTTATCTTCTTGTATATAAATAGGCTCTCGTTTTCTAATTTTTCACTCAACTGATAAGTGGAAGGGTTGAAGAAAGAATTTTTCGAGAAGAGATAAGATGTTTTTTTTTTTACATTTATGTTTGAAATTTTTGAAATTAGGATTATTAGATTTTTATGATGCATAATAATATTTTAATTTTAAAAAATATGATTAATAAATAATAATAATAATTGATTTGTGATGTTAATTTGGCTCATAATGATCTCTTAGGCTTAATTAAATTTCAAGATTGATTTAATTATTAAATTTTTATTTTTGGATTATAATAATAGTTCTAATTCATTTAATTTGATATATCTATGTTTTAAGAATAATGTATAAATCCTTATGATTTAATTAGTTTTAAATTTAAGATTATAAATCTAAATTGTTTAATTCATATATTTGAGTTACACCTTAATAATGGAAATAAAAAAAAAATTAATTTAATTTGTGGGGTCAAATTTAGGATTTGATTTGAGTTAAGTTTGATCATACCAACTCATATGGCCACATACGACTTAGCACATATGGTAAGACATAACTTAGTCCATGTTGTCGAGTATAGTCCAACCAATGTGGTTAGATATTGTTGGGAAAACGATAAGAACATCACAAACGTAGCGAAAAATTAAAACAAAAATTATTTCCCATACAAAATAGCATCAAATCACCGAGAGATGATTAAGAGCATAAAAGACTCAAAATCATAAAATCGCATAAGGGGTGAAACGTTCTCACATATAGGAACTCATATATCCCCAAAAACATAAATTATGGCCCATTGGATGAATAAGCTTTCATGAACTCCTCTCTAGCGGTAGTCAACATGATGGATGACAGCGACGATGCTACTCCTTCTCATGATGGACTCTCTCCTCATGACAATGCTCCACCATGCAACAAGACAACAATAATAATGAGTAAGGAAGGGAGCGGCCCTCTTGTTATCCTCTCACACAAAGGAGACTACAAGAGAGAGATCAATAGAGGGAGATGGGAGGCTAGTGGCTCCAATGAGTGTAGTCTATGACCCTTAGAGAGCCACTTCTATTTATAGAGAACCCCTCTTGTTAATCCTAATGGATTTCATGTAATGGCTTAATAGATATTGGATCTCCATCTAATAACCACTAGCTTAACGGGTATTGAATGCTCATCGAATAACCACTTTAAGCTCTCTGTTTCATTGGGTCTCACACATTGAATATATTAAAAGGCTAAAGGGGCTTATTAGATATCTCATATTCAATTCTCTACTCGTCATGTCATTCACTTTGTGTGTGTGACCTCCCAAGCCCAATATCGAGCTGATCGTGAGTTGCACCTATCAGAATCCTTTCTGACTCATAACTCCTTTTAAATCAGTGAATTATTATTGTCGTAACAATTCACTCAACTCATTGATTATGGATGTACTATGCAAAGACTCTATAGTCCCCGAACGGTATAGAAGGATTTAATATATTGGATCTATCTGCCCTCAATTATCATGTATCTATAGTCTCTTATCCATCTAATACCCGAGGGACCATATATTATGCATTATGTTATCAGGTCCATACGGAATCTATCTAAGTCTCACTCTTATCCTTTATTGACATACAATTGCCTTCGTATGGTTGACTGTCATTCTCAATGGTTGTTTGTACTAAATATGAAACTTTCATACCTGTAACGAATCATTTAATAAACTTATTCTCTAGTGAGCATCTGCACTCGAACACAATAGTTAGACGATTCCTTCATTTGTTATTAGGAGGAACGTATCTCCATTTAGGCAGGTGAGGGATGCCACTTAATCCGTTTTTAAAAGAAATCTATCATGAGAAATATATCTCTACATCTGCTATTGGAAGAATATACCATCGAGTATTATTTACATCATTGTTATATGACTGTTATGCATATTATCCAGATACGTTGCATGTGACTAATACACGATTTTATTTACTATATAAAAATTATCATTATTTTTCTGAAACAAAGGTGTCATAATGAATTAATATGCTATCATTTTATATTTAATTATTAATATACATCATAACTACTAAAATTATTTTATAATTTTTAAATATTTTACCAATATATATGGTTGTTGATGCATCATCATATTATATTTATTTTTAGAATAATACGATACATTGTAATAGATACGAGACTTAGGTAAGAAAAGATTTTTTTTATCACATATGACTTTAGTAAGAAGATTTTTTTAGTAAAAAATATTTATTATTATAAAGATAAATATTTAAATTCAATATTAAAAAATATATATTTTTATAAATATGGGATGTTCATCCTCCTCCTCAAACCTGGGCGGACTCATCCTGTACACCAAAAACCCAAAATGAGAGACTATTTTTGCCTCAATAATTTAGTTGTGATGTTTGGTTGATTAGAAGACTCCTAAATCTAAGATGCCACCGTTTAAATTAATTAAAAACAACAAGATTGTAAGATACTACTTTTCCTCAAGAAAAATAAATTCATCTCTTTTTTTAGAAAATACAGTTTATAGTATTTTCGAACCAATACTTCTTTACTTCGTATTTTGCTCAATTATTTTTTTATGAATATAAAATCCACACAAGATAGGAATATGCCATGTCAATACAATCAAAATAAATAATATTCTTTAAATACCTTTTATTAGGGGAAATTATCTTTACAGCAAGTGATTAAGAGAGGATATTTATTTTTTTATAAATTTATTTAAACAAAAAAATTAATTTAACATCGAAGGGATGGTATCGTACGAGAAGACGATCACGGAAATGAAGCGATATCAATGATGATTTTGTGCAGTTCAACGTGAGAATTGTAGCATCGTCGTCATCATTATAGCTACATCAAAGCATCGTCGACGGTGAATCGAGGTGTGCCTCATGACAGTCCTCGAGAAGTGTGTCCATGGTGATTGGTAGAGCTACATGCATTGATGAGGCAGGCCCCGAGAACACGAACCAATCAAACCCGTCCCTCACATTCCAATCCAAACACTACCCGACAACCCCAACAGCGTCGATCCATCTCTCCCGTGCACCGCCTGCGTCATTCTCGGTCTTCTCATCGCACTTCGTAAGCTGTTCGAGTCGATGGTTGAGAAGACAAGACAGCACTCGGCAGATCGAATTTTCACCCAAAGGAAGAAAGCAATCGAGGAAGAAGACGATGAAAGCGACGTCGCTACTTCACTCTCCGGTTGACTCACACCTCAACATCAGCAGCACACAGGATATCGTGTATTTGCGAGCGAAAACACCACGAAGAAAAGACAGAGAAAACGAGAAGCGTTTTATTTCCTGCATTTACCATTGTGGACGTGAAACAAAGCTCTGTATGC